AAACAGACTTTTGAGATCTTTTCTGCAAAATTCAGTTAGCTAGCTTGGCCAAGGGGTTCACTATATATTACTATAGGACATCAGCTTCTCTCCCCCCCACCCCTTAACTATTGTCTTATATACATTACCTCAATTTGTTCATAGACATGAATAGGATCACTAATTCCTCTGTAGTTAAAGGCAAAGTAGAAGTAGACACATGCACCTGCATCATAAGTCTGTGTCACCCTGTTGAAGAGAACTGCATTACAAACACAGCTTTATGGTATTAAGCCAACCACTACATGACATTACACAATTCATAAAGTTACTTATTTAAAAGGGTACTATCTTTTTTTTGAAAAATAGTTTTGTATCTTTTTTGCTAATCCTTCATGAGTGACTCAATGCTACGCTAGAGCTCAAGCTCAAGTCATTACACTTGACTCTTGTACATATAAGCAAGAGTAAGTGTCGAGACTAATCCCTTCAATTACTCACTCCTACCTGTAATCCACTTGCAGGTTAAAGAGGAAGGGTCAATATTACTAGTGTTTGCAGTATCATTAGATGCACTTTACCTACTGGCTAGCAAGTTTAATAACTTCTTCCTTAGTTCTCTAACTAAACAAAGATTCAAGAAAGATTATTTAAGTTGTTAATGGCCTACCTGCAGGTGGAAAAAGGAGCAAACTGAACACCCTTTTCTTTGCATTCTCTTACTATCCTTTCCTTTACATTCCTACAAAGGTCCAAAACCCTGTAAGAGAACACATTAAAATTTAAGATCTTATTATAATATTTTATACAACTTCATCTCCAGTAATCTTTCTAAAAGAAGTATAATCTAATAAAACAGAAGACTACCTTCTAGAACCAGTTTCAAGTAGCCTAGATTTTGTTCCAAGAATAAAATAGTCCTCATCATCAAGACTTCACTAGTACTATTTTTTCCATACTTCTCCTGAATATAAGGTTTATTCTGAAGAGAATATATAATGAAAGTTCTTTTCCATAAAGACTAGGAGTCAAACATGTTAAACCCACTTTTGTATGTCTTTACTTACTTTCTCAGGAAAACGGTCTCAATTTTCTGGCAAAGTAGTTGAGAAATAGAGCTCACAGAAGACAGCTTCAAAACTCTAAGACCTTCTACACTCTGGTAATACCATATCTTTGGTATGCTGCAAGACCAAAACTAGAAATACTCCAGCTGTACAGCAGCTTGCCAGCTTGAAATATTATAGTTCTAATATGGCAATGAGCTATTATGACTATGGCTTGTCATAAGCCATACTTGTTTTGCTTTTATTTTTTTTTTCTTCCAGGGCAGACCCAGGTATATCTAAAGTGCTAGAACAACTGAAAGAAATCACTGTTATTCAAATGATCATTTCTTTAGTTTTATGTTCTCCTATGACGGTCTGCAGTGCTATACTATACAAATCAGATTAAGACACTTTGCAGATTTAAAACTACTTTGGAGATTGACAGAATCTCCAGTGAATAAGCAAGTTAAACTAAATATTTTACTCAGCTATCTCCAACTAGTAAGGAACAAGGAAACTGATTAATTTACAGAAAATTATACAGTTCTTTTGAGTCAAAGTAGAAAAAGATTTTGAAAGCATTTGCTCTGGTGAGGACAATGACAAATAATTTCTCGGATTCTTAGATAAAATGTAATTCTCTCCTGAAATAAGGGAAAGGCAAAAAACAAACCAGTGACTAAGCAGTTATAGCATAAGTCAAATCTATAAAGCTAAAGTAAAAAAAAAACCAACAAAACACAAAGAGCAATTTTGCTTTAAAATTGTCCTCAAATTTCTGCCACCCATTTGGGACAGCATACCAATCTTCAAAGCAGAGCCTGAATTTACTATTGCCACTAAATTCAACAGCAATAATACCGGCTTGCCAGCTTAAGTCATCACACTTTGAACACTTTCCACTTTGCATTAAAACACTGTAAAGCTTTAATTCAAATCACTTTAGATCCTGCATAAGAGGTTTCTGGCCTACCAAATGTATAGAAGCATCCAAAATTATTTCATATATTAAACTCTGTTGTGATCAAGTGTTTCTCAACCACAGCTAACAGATAAAATAAGCTTAGGAAAAAGATTTATCTTGGGAAGAAGTTATCTTTTCAGTTCTTTCATTTCCCTGTATTACTGGGGAAAGAAAAAACTTATTTAAATATATTTAATATATATTTAAATATATTTAAATACTTAAAAAAGAATCTTCACTGGAAACTCTTCTGTTTGAAATACCCTGCCGATCCCACACATGGCTGCTCATCACACAATACAGCCATTGTCACCGTTGTCCAGCTTCCTAAACTGGGCAGCTTCAAGTTCCAAATTTGTTAGAGTAAGCTAACCTAACTAGAAATATTCCTGAGTGCTTGCCTAAATTGCTTTAGCAAAATCCCGATACGCAATTTACTAGCAACTTTAGCAAGAACACACAGGTGCAAGACTTGAGGCACACCAGGAAACCTCCAGTACACATAAGGCCTAAATTAAATTAAGTTTCTCCATGAGCAAGCATGAGTTAGGAATAATTCGAATGAAATCAAGTACAAGTTTTAAGCAATTGTAAAGAATAATCACAGTTTACCTATCCCAAGGAACAGATGTCTCAAATGATTCTCCTATTACATAGTAATCCAAGCCCAGATCCTAATAAATAAAGAAAGGAAACGATCAGTAACATTCAGCATCAACATCTGGGATTCCAGTGTACGCTACACAGCTAATAGTTGAGCAACTTTAGTTAGTTTGCATGAGGAAAACCAGAAAGTCCATTTAGCAAAACCACCCATCTGTCCTAATGACCTAAGTTTATAATTGTGGAAATAGGGTAGCTCTTCGAAGACATATGACAAACATTTTGATGTCATGGCTATAGTGTGACAACTTGTCAGACTGTGAGTACGCCTACACTAATCGAATATTTGTGTCTCTATAGCATCAAGCCAAGAGCTCTACTGTGCTAATTAATATAATACCTACTAGAAATATTTATCTGGAATGCAATTCCTACCTAGGTAGAATAAAGACAAACGTTTTGCCCATTTTATGTATAGTCTGCTGAAATAAAGGAAAATATGACTATAAAAGACAAATAAAATCTATCACTCAGGATGTGCATACTATTTAAAAAAAAAAAATCTCTTAAACAGCAAGACTAAAATTTGTAACAGCTGCAGCAGTTCAGAGTAAAGGTCAATTCATCCCAGAATTCTGGTTCAAACCACAGCCATAAGCAGATGTCCAAAAGAGAGCAAGTACCCTTTATTAGAAACCATTTTCTTAACAAGCTTATAAATTATTTTTTATGGTGTTTTGCAGATGAAGTTTCATGAGTAAACACTAGTCAGAAATGGAAGAGATAAAACACTCTCAGAAAGGTTTGAGATATCATGCAAGGCAACCTGCATTTGTATTTCAGAGAAAGCATCTTCAAAGAGACATCTCTTTGAAGAATTAACAGAAGTTTCAGCAGGCAGACAAAAGGTGACCTACCCGAAGGTAAGCAATGACAAATGTCAGCATATATCCTCTCTGTCCATTATCTTCTCCTGCTGCCAAGCCACTGCAATTAACAAGAATTTAATTAACTTTCCAGCAAAGTAGTCACCAATTTCCAAAAATAATTAAAAAATAATGCAAGCCATATTTATCAAAGGGAACATTCAGTAGCTAATCGATTACTGTCACTTCAAACTAGTAGACTGAGAACTTATTCAAATAGTAATAACTATAAAAATATGGTAATACTATTTTTCCCTGGATAGTTAACTTGAAGCTTCATATGAAATCGTTCTTTAAAAAGCATACCCAAACTTGGTGGCAATATCATAGACTTGCTTCTCATGCTGAAGAACCTTCTCTCTGTCACCCTCAAAAAGCAAGGTAGCTACACACAGTACGTTGGGATCAAATCCTTTAAACTGCAAACAGAGAAAACTTTGTATTATCTTTGTATAGCCTATGAGGTAGAATACAACCAACAAGTCTTCTTTTCAAATATACAGCACACACTCTGGTTAAGAAGTGTTGTTGGAACTAAGAGGAAAGATTAGGAAAAATACAACTTTCAAAAATTTACTCCCAAAACAATCAAGTTTTTCCTTGACAGGGCAAACATTCACAAGCCCACTGAAATAACAGACATTGTATGTGTCACCTTTTTTCTCCTGTTAAAAAGCAGGATAGACATAACAGCTGTCTGCCTATGCTGAAGAAAGAACAGGTCTTAAATACCTCAAGCAGTGGGGAGATATTTATATTCTACCAACTATTCCCATATTAAAACAGGAAGATGACTATTATGACCATGAACATCACTGCTCTCAAAATAGTTCTATCAGCAGTGTGCCACAGAAAAACCTCTACATTGGTAAAAGCACTATGGAAAGAAAATAACTTCTAAACTTGTGGCAGAGAATATATCCCAGTGGAAATGGGGAGAAAGTGATTAAAGGTTTAATAATAATGCAGTCAGGTTGTCTGTATGGCTTTGTTTCAGAAATAACAGTCAAGAGTGATATCTTCACAACTAGTCCAAGAAGAGCCTTACTTATTTTCTATATACCTTTTTTTATTAATTAGCTCCAGTGAACTACTACTAAGCAAGTTTCAGAAGGAATGGAAATGAATATAAAGTTGTAATAAAGCTTAATGACTTTTTCCACAGTTACAGTGTAAAAATTTATGATTTATAACAACATATTCTTAATATGTATACTGACTGACAATTATTTCTTTTAAAGCCTTCCAGTTGCATTAATCTCTTCCAGTCTCTACTCTGCTTGTGGTAACTTTTTACTTAAGGACCAAGCAAGATTATATGAAGTTACATTAATAGACAAGAGATTCAAATTCATCCTTTTATGCACAACAACTATGCTGAGAAAAATCCCAGTTAGCTGCTATTCTTTTTATTATGCCCTTAACTGAATAGATTAACTGTACTGCAAGTTAACTGAAGGTACCAGGTGTGTCCAAAAAAACAAGCAAGGAGGCAAAGTATCTTGGGATGGGTTGGTCCTCCAGCTAATGAGCTCAAATCTGTATGATGATCCCCAAAGACATCCAAATTAATATTTCTGTAACAAATACTGCATCCTACCATCCCAACAAAACACCATGAAAACTACTGCCAAATAGAACATACTTCCCCAGGCAAAGGATCAGCCTTATCCATTAGTCCTACAAAACCAGAATTGCTAACATAAATAGAAAGAAATACTGTTACTACAGTGATAAGCTCCAAACACAGAAATAAAGGTCTATTAAGATGCTATTTACTGTTCCTTCTCATTCTAGAACCACTTGTATTTCATCTAGCGTGAATCATTTCATCTATTCTGCCATCTTTTGGCTGTCATGCTCAGCTAGCACCTTACAGTTCTCTTTAAGACAGAGGAACTACCTACAGTGCGAACTAGTAGACAAACAATACCTCGAGCATTTATCTATCAGTGAACAGTCCCTAACTACATGGAGAAGTAAATGAGAAAGACTTTGCTTAATCTCTTAAGCAGTATCAGTTAAATGACTAACACTTAATTCTTTTATTGAACACAGTAATCTGAGGCAGGCGTTTTTTGTTGTTGTTGTTTTGGTTGGTTGGTTTTGTGTGTGGTTTTTGGGTTTGTTTTTGTTTTTTTCCCCTAGGAAGCAATTAACAGATTAAGTAAGCATAAAATGGATTTGAGCATCCTCGTCTCAGTAACACCTGCAGTATCAGTCTCAGGGTCATTACACTTGCTCCTTTCTCTACTCCCATCTCAACTGGGAGTTTCTCTGAAGTAGCAGTTGCTCACGTAGACCAGGGGACTGAGCCCTGACATAAGAGCCCTACATTGGTCACCAACTCAGAATCTTTGCATCAGTATTACATAGTATTTCTGTCATTTCTTCACAAGTTCCTTCTCTCCGGCTGAGCTGGAAGAATCGGAATTGGTATATGACACCCCTTGGTGATATAACATCCCAACAAGCAGCGATGCTTGCTGCGGACTACAGAAGTAGCAGATGTTGCCGACTAGGATTGTTTCAAACTGACAGCAGTCTTGTTGCCAAAACCTTTACTTTAGATATTCCTGCACTACAGCAGATCAGAGAGGGAAGGGAAAATAATTTTTGGGCTCTCTCTAAACTTAATCGGTATTCCCTAGCAAAAAAGTTCCAAGACACATGGCATTTTCTACTTCAGTAGCACACGAAAAAGCAACAGAACCAACACTAGCCACTGTCTCTCAAGCAAGCCCACTCCTTGAAGACACTCAATATTAGCAGATCAGAATGAAATGTTTACCTCGTGTCTAACAGTTATCTCAATCCAGGATGATGCAGTTTTCTACATTTGAATACCCAATATTTGCAGGAACTGTCTAGTTAGCTAATTTAGAGGAAAACATCAGTAACAAGACAAATTATTTAATGCAAAAGACTAGGTGTAATCATTGTAGCACCACACGATTCTGGATTAAAAACAGTATTCACTGGCATGAATTCCAGAAAGACAAAAAAACCAATTTATATGGGCAATTCAAGACAATATCTTGAGGTCCTCCCAAAATTCTAGTTCACTGTAGTAACAAGTTAGATCATGCCTTGACAACATCTGGGAAGAAGAAAAGATGGTAAAATCTTAGTCTCGCTCCATCTGTTAACTGATAATCAGGGCTCTGCAAGCTAGATAAATTGGTTCCAGTCTTGCTCTGTCACCAACTCACTGTTAGACAAGGCACATAAATCTCATCTACAGATATGACCAGTGAGAGCAGCTCTCATGGAATAACTCCTTAAACAGATAATCTCATTTTGGATAAAATCACCTTGAGAATCTCCAGTTAACTGATACTACAGCTGCATTAGAGACAGTATAGCAAAAAAATCTTTAATTTTATGAAGAGCATGCAAAGTTCCAAACAGTATTAAACCCCCAAAGTTACCTTTGTGATGTAGAATTTTTTCAGTCCATCCAAAAATGAGGTAAAAATGGAAGCAACTTGTGGTTTAAGAGCATGACCTTTGGCAAAAAGTGGAAAAAGGTGTATTAAGGCAAACAGTGCTCTTAAAATTTCTACTTCAATGTGCAAATAAAAAATAGTTTGCAAGAATCACTTGGAGCACTCTGATTATCATAATTAAAGACACTTCTTTCTACTCATTTAGAAGATAATTTAAGAAAAGGTTTTCATTATTTTTTTTAAAAGGTATACATACAACTGTGCACAAATATTTCATTTGACACTTTAATTAAGGCTGCCCTAGTTTATATCTTCACAAGTATATGGCACATGGAAAATTTTAAAAGAGCACTTAATTAGTTTTTACACTAAAAAAACTAAGCAAAATCAGTGACCTTTTTAAAAGCTATGCCAAAACCACTCAAACCAATATCCAAAAATGGTGCAAGTTAGGAGTTAAGCAATTTTTTCCTTAATGATTATGTCACTTTCGCAAAATTTTCTACATAAACCTAGTAATTGCTTCTTTAATCACATACAGGAAACTAAAACTACCAGGATATATAAATGGTGTCTTGGAGTCTGTGAAATTAACATCTCTGCCTCAGGACTGGGTTTAATTGGATGAAAGTCTTTTACTGTTTGTTCCATCGTTTTCAGTCACAAGCAACTTCTGAACTCCCATTACTGCTTCACTTCAAGAGTCTTGCATCTGGCCTACATGCTGTGAGCCCAATTCATAAAAAAAGTTATGCACCATTTACATGATACTTCCTTTTAAAATATTTCAAAGTATTTCCTCCTGAATAGAGCATGAACTTCAGCAATTAATTCCTCTCCTTCCCTCTTCAGTAAAGAGGGATTCTCCCTGCAGATACAAACAAACCCCAGGGAGTACACCTCCAAGCACTCAAAAAAGCACCAGATAACAAAAGGACATTAATTTATTGAGGCACCATCTGTAAAAACTATTGGATTTAAGGCTACTTAATAGTGACGACAAGAAAAATCTATATTGACACACCTGAAACTATGTTTTGCAGGTGACCGTATAAGCTGCAACTTCAGATCAAAGCTAAAAAGTAGAAGAATTATTTATTTAGTGTTGGTTTTAAAGCTTGTAATTGGTCAAACTTCTCCCCAATTAATAAAAAAGAAAAATGCATCTGCCTTCTGTTGTACATGTCAGAGAAACAGTATAAGACAAAAGAGTGACCAAAGCAAGCAGCAAGGCTTGCTGGGCTCTCAGGTTTTACAGATCTCTTTTTCCTTGGTTTGAAAAATAAAGTTCAAATTTCTCAACACCATCATATTAATGCCATTTGAAGTCAAGATTCATCACTGAGTCTTCTATCCAAAAGAAGTTTCAGAAATTCTGACTTATTCAAGTGGTATTAAAATAGAGGTTTTCAAGGTCAGTCACACTTCATATTTTCATCTGTCTACAATCAAAATAGCATGGTCTCAGCAAGACCCTCAAGTTCTGCAAACTATTAGCTTTTCAGTAGTGGATTCAGTTTTGGATTCTCCTGAAGTGTCTTGAGTCAGAACACATCTTTTGACAAGTTTCCTAGTTTAAAATGATAGCTTTCCCTAAGAAAGGCTCAAAAATTATTGCTCTGCATGTCTGACATTGTCCTATTTAAGTATTTGAAATAGTTGAAATTTCACAAAGTCTTTGTGTTTGGTAATCTAGTAGCTTCATTGACCTTCTGTACTAAAAGCCTACAGCTTATTTCTATTTACATACAGTTACAGCATTTACTACATCTGAGCTTCTTCTAGACACTGCCTCTCTCCCACCCAAACAATCATTGCCACTTGAAGTATTTTTAAAAAACCTGCTACTTCTAAAAAAAAAAAATCTGTGTACCACTTGTGATGCTTTTATGAAATTTAAAGAATCAACCAACCTACCTTCAGAGTAAGGTGCCTGCATTCAGATTTTTTTTTTCCATAACAGACTTCTCATTAGTACTCTTAGCAAGAAAATGTTTCAAGTACTATATTGCAAAACTATCACCTCTGCTCCTTTACAGCAAAACAGACGAAGTGCCTCCAGAATTTCAAACTCCACAGCAGACTATATGCCAAGAATGGAAAGGTGGAAAAAAAATTCTAAGTATTTATATGCAGAGCATGGCTCTGACTATTGTAGTTGATACTGTTTTCCTAGAGACAAAGACAGCCTTTTGTTTCTGAAAGTACATATTATGGCACTACCTGGAGTTTGAACACTGGGTTAATTGCCTTCTTCATCTAGTTTTGAGCAAAAGAATTACCACCTAAAATAGACTTAAGCTACTAAAAATCAAATCCCTTAGGAATATATTTTTGTACAAGAAGATCAACATACTTACCAAACTGAAACTGTGCGTTGTCGACAAGGCGAATTGATGCAGGAGCACATCTCTTGGGGGCAAAGTTAGGGGAATAAGAGGGAGAAAGAATAAAAAGATTACATACATATTGTTGCTGAAATTAATGTCAATCAAATTTTCACTTAAAGATAGCATACAAGAACGCATGCTTTGATACCAGAGACCTATGGCCATCATGATCATTGAAAAGCGGTGACTAGGAGCCTACTTTCACTTGAATAGCAACATCTATTATGTATGTCTAGATATAATGCATTGAGAATTTTCAGTTTAACATCAAGCCAACACAGGAATAGTCCAAAGTTCTTTGACCTTCAAGTCAAGTATTTTTCTAAATTGCCATAATGCACTAAAGATATCATACTTGATTAGAATATCGAGTTTATGTTGCTATGTAATCAAATATACACATACATTACAAATCCATTGACAGGTCTAATTGTTGTGGGTTAACCCTGGCAGGCATCTAAGCACTACAAAGCTGCTCACTCACTCCCCTCTCAGTAGGACAGTGGAGAAAATCAGAAGGGCAAAAGTGGGAAAATTCATGGTTTGAGATGAAAACAGTTTAATAAGCAAAATGGGAAAAAACCCACCAAAAAGTGATGCAAAAGCAATAAATTACCACCAGCCAACCAATATCCAGCCAGTGCCCAAGCAATGGCAACCCCTGGAAAACTCCCCTCTCCTGTTTTATTTCTGATCATGATGCGATATGGTACAGAATACACCTTCAGTCAATTTGAATCAGCTGTCCCAACTGTGTTCCCTCCCAGCCTCTTGTCCACTCCCAAACTACTTGCTGGTCGGAACATGGTGAGAAACAGAAAAAGCTTTGACACTGTGTATGCACTGTTCAGCAACAGCTAAAACATTGGTGTGTTAACATTGTTTTGGTCACAAGTACAAAAGATAGCACCACACAGCTGCTATGGAGAAAATTAACTCCATCCCAGCCAGACCAAATACACTAATGCTCTGCCATCAGACTGCAATTAAAATCCATATCTGGGTTCAATCTAGATTCTGCACTGTACAGAAAACTGAAAACCAGTAAGAACAGCTGCCTTCATTAGGCAAGCTTCTGGTTATCCATAGCCTACACCATGTAATCTGTGACTGCCATGTCCAGTCATACTGACGTGTATGGCCAGAGGAATATGACAAAGCCTGAGTTTTAGGCTACTCTTCATCTAATCACATGGATATGGAAAGACTCCTGTATCACTTGATTTGACATGTTCACCCTCCATCATACCATTAATATGTATCTGGTTACATGATAGGAAGAATGAACAAGAAGAACTAAGCTCAACAGACAGGTTGACAGAATGCAGCTGGATGAGTGGTTTTAAATGAGACAAACCCACCCATAACCTGCAGGTTGGTTATTCTTAAAGTAGACCAATACAGACAAGAAACAGCTTTTCTGACAGCTATCACTGTAATTACTACCAAGACTGATGTGTGGGGAACAGAAGAGAGGAATAAGTAGTTCAGGCTCAAGTAAGCAGTGAAATAGCAGCAGCAGCAACAGAAGCTTAGAAGTGGAGCAACACTAAGTGGCTAATAGTGCTGTTTTTTTCCTCTTCTAACTAGAGCTCATAGCAAGGGAAAAGACACTAGTTCCTTAATTGACTTAAAATGTTGATCAGCCATATGATTAAGCATTTCCAAATAGTCTGCTTAGGTACCTTTAACAGGAAGAACAAGCACTAGCAGTAGAAGCATGACAGAAGAACTGGCAAGTGCTGCTGACTAGCATATACATGTCATTCACATACCAGTCTGAACATCTGGCTTGGAACATTAAGTCATTAATTTAGACCAATCACTGGAAAAAATGTAAAGCTGTGTTTAGTTTTGCATAAATTAAAACATTCCTGAAATTACTTCCCTAATCCAGGGTATATTCCACTATTCATAGATTTGATACGTTTTGCACAGCAAAGAAAAGTTAGTCTAAGATTGTGAAGAAAGAGGCTAGCCAGTCTAAGATGTGCCTGGAAGCACAGCCATGAGGAAGAGTGTTACACAATTTGGATACCCATGTCTGAGTTTTTCTACCTGAAACCATCTGACCACACTATTCAGAAGGCTGTTTAAATACTACAGTGTAAGCACAGTGCCATCTCAAAACATCCAGCTCACCTGAACATGTCACTGTGCCTCAGGAGATGTTTTCAAAGCACAGGCCATATCCTTCTATTGCATGGCTTTTGTTACTTTGTCACTTCAGAGTCATAAATTCAACTGCCTTTTACTAGTATGCTGCAACTTAATTCCTTTAAATACTGGTCTCTTTTACACAGTCCTGAATTAATCTGAGGACAAAGCCCTCTGTTGAAGGAGATACAAAGCCAATTTTTCTGTGCTGAGATAAGCAAAGAACTCCCACTAAAAGAGCTATCAAAAGGCACATCCACACTTTGTCTCAGAATATTGAGCAAATTCAGGATGTGCTCTATCCTCAATTGCATAATTTCCAAAAGCCTCATGGACTATATACACTTATGAGGTTCATATTAACTCAAATCCTTTGTTATCAATTGCCAGAAATACTACAGCATCAGCATACCCTTAGTACTAGAATCTAGATCCTTGAGTGAAGTCAACATCCAGCTTTTCTTTACCTGCTTTGCCACTTCCCTTAAGCAGGCCACCCCTCGTTCAAAGTTGGGAAAGACCACAGAGCCATACTTCTGGTATTCAGGGACTGGGCGAATCTTTATCGTAACTTCAGTAACCACTCCAAGAGTTCCTTCAGGAAAAAAGAAAAACTTGAGTAAAGTGTTGAAAGATGTACTTCTTGCAAGTCACCCAACTTAACAACTGTTTACCAGGATTTTGTAAGTTAACATAAATCAAAAATCCCAAAAATTCAGTATTGCAGTAGAAGGTGATTTAGTCCTGACTATTTCCGTGGTGAATTCTTACAACATATCCTCTAAATCATGATGTTTTTTACTAGACTTGTAGGCTAACTACACAGTTCTGTTTTAAGCACTGTTCAGAGTTGCTTAACTTCAGTCCTAATCAAGGTCTCAATGTATTATCCTAACACAGGAAATTCATGCCTGCATAATGCCATCCCTAGACACCCTGGAAGCCACAGCATAAAGATATTCAAATCATAAGCCGTTACAGAAGCTGAATTAAGATGCAGTTATATGAAATTAGTGTTTATACCTTCAGATCCCATAATGAAGTGATGGATATCAGGTCCTGTTGACATGCGAGGTACTTGACAGTTTTTTTCTACTATTCCTCTAGGAGTTACCATTTTAATGTGAATCACCTGTTTAAACAATATGCAACTATTGTAAATACTAGCATTAAGCACAGATTTTTTTTTTTGTATGACATTTATTGTCTACAAAATGTATATTAAGCTTGATACAGTTCACCTTTGTAGACTTTAGACATTCTGTAGGCAGCCCCAAGAACTTTTGGCATAACCTGAGGACTGTTACCAACAATTATTTCTAACACAGCATGGTTTGCCCACACAACAGATTGTTTCCAGTTCTATGCCAAATCAAATCAGCTGTTGGCTACATGTAGACAATACTGGTTAAAGTTGTTTTGTTTTTCAGTGTAGACAGCACTTTATGAGTACTAGGATTTTAATCCAGAATATACATAGTACTTCAGCAGAAAAAAAGTGGGAGTTCAAATTTTGCTTTAGAACTGCTGCTTGATAAATCTAATATAATTCAGCCATCAGTTGCTACAGAAATATTTCTATTAGGAAGAAAGACAGAAGTAAGCTTTGTGAAATAGATCATTAATATTAAATCTGCCATAAGATTGATACATATGTAAGGCTAGAAAGTAAGGCTAAAATAATTTTTTAAAATATTTTTTAATGGTATTGCTTCCAGCTTTGTTCATGCATATGCAATACAGAGCCTATCTATTTTTTTTTCAATCCTTTATTCAACTATTTTATACCAAGGAAGTGTGGGGTTTGGGTTTTTTTAGTGAAGCTTTTAAATTAAGCTAAATTACTGAATTGTAACTAATAGCTTTAAAATTTTCAAGTACAAGTCACTAAGTAATTTTCATCCTGCTCCAAACTGTTCAAGAATTTCATTATACGCATTTTACGAACTGTTGATTCTGCAGTAAGTAGATTTTAGGCAGCTTATACAACACACCATTTCTAGCTATCAGGTTTCCTCAGAAGGTAAATACTTCCTTGAAACTTTCTCACTGTGGCATTTTGAGACTCATTAACTGTTCTGAATCAATTTTCAATCCTATCTCCTCCTAATGAAAGTTTCAGAAGCTATTTTAGCTTGAAGTTATGCTTTCACGATAGAAAAGCCTTCTGCCTCATGTCTCCCAGTATAAGCAAAACTATACCATTCAGTAACATTCAGGCAATAGGGGGCAGATGACACTTTAAGTGCCAGTAGTTCTAGTTCAGTCAGGCCAACTGAATAAAAACTGTAGTTCCTGCCAAGCTCAGTTACCAATAGTAAAGTGTCACAGAACAAACATATCTGAACTATGAGTTCATGTAAAAGCCTGAGGTGATGGGGATACATTACTCAGAGCATGCTGCAGGAAAGAAGGAAAGACTCACACGTGTGGAAGGGCTATTGTATAAACTATGAGAGAGAGCTGGAAGTTTGAAGCAAAAAGACAGGTAAAGCCTGTACAGTGACAATTTAATTTCAATATATTCAATATATTTGTTATAAAAGAATGGGTAAATTATTTAAAAATAAAAAGTATGTTTTAAAAAAAAATTACCTGGGTCAATATAAAGATGAACCATTTTAATGCTCAAAACAGATTCAAGAGTAGAATACTGCCATTCCCAGTCCATTGCTTCCTTCCTCAGGGTTCCCACATACCATGTGGTGGCATTAGATTTCACCACTGTACAGCCACATGGACAATTAGATCAGCCTACTGATTTGATAAAACTACTAGCATAAGGGGAAGTAGGACGGTGGAAAAAGCTAGCTTGCTGTCAGAGTTAGCTGCTCCAACTAGACAACTTCAGGAACATACAACAGGTAGGAGAGAACACAGGCCTTTTGGAATCACCCTAGAGGTTTGACAGGATTATTACAGTGGATAGAGAACGCAAAATAGTAGAAGGTGGCACCAGAATCAGGACAAGGTAACACAATCCCTTAAGCAAGCTATCCAATAAGCATCAAAACAAAATTGACTTTTAGATCAGCGATAAGGATTATTAGTACTAATACCAAAAGCAAGTAAACAAGCGTTTCAGTCAAGATTTGATGCCAAAACTGTATCCCTTATTAAGAGAAACACAATTTACTATCCCTTTTTCCTCTCATTGCAAGTCATAATAAAAGTTAAGTCTCCGAACAGAATAATTAATTAGAAAAAGTATGAGAAGTATTTACCAGATCTTCAATGTTTCCATAGATGTTTTTTTTCATGCCTGATGCTCGTGTTGCTACCCATCCTCCTAGTGAACTGAACTCCATGGAGTCTGGTTCATGGCCTGTACAGAAGCCACTTTCAGCAAGCTAAAGAAAAAAAAAAAACACAACAACACATTCTACAGAGCCTGCACCTGCTAGTACCACAAATCTCAGATTTCTAGAGTCTGAGTTTGTTTGTTTGTTTGGGGGGTTTTTTGTTTGTTTGTTTTTAAACAAGTATCCTGACCACTTACTAATTTATTCAGGCACAAGTTTTGTCTTTGGTATGTAAATGACATGCAAATTGATTCTGTTTCTACTGTGCATACACTGTGCTACATATTAACCTATAATACTCCTCCCCAATATTTTAAAACTAAGATCTCTATTGTTTATAAGAAGGTGTGAATTCAAATAAATATGGAAAAAAATTACAACTAAGTAACTGCCAACTTTGCACAAATGCTGCCAGTAAATAAGGCACTTAATCTCTTCTTTCTATCCTAATGTGAGATGCAGCAGGCCTGCAGAAAATGTGAGCAAATTGCCTGTACTTAATTCTCTCAAGGAGTGATGTGTTTTAATATATAGCCATCTGGTGGGGCTTTCTGTATGCAATGCTATCAACTATTTGTGATGCAGATCATGCATTCCTGTACATTAAATAGTCACTTGTTTCTCATTTTTCTGTATTAGCTTGGCTTTACCATCTGCACAGCACCTGAGGTTGATTGGATGCCCTCAGAATCACAACACCAAGGCTGTCAGACAGGAAGAATTAAAGACCCAGCAGTTTCACATTAAGTGATAACTGTGTTAGTGCATTTGAGATGATCAATTTGCACTGACTAACCGATAACAATCCAGTTGGACATAGATATTTAAGTATACCACATAATGTGGATCATTAACTATGTTGTGTTGTACAAAGTGGTTCTAACTTAAATGATTGAAAGTCACTTCTATGTAATGTCTGTGGTGATTCATCTAGCTCATAGTCCCCTCTCATGCCAGAGAAGCTTGTGGCTTTAGATGCTTACTGGTCATACATTAGAGACAGGCTGGCACCTGCACCCTCCTCATTCCCCAAAGTGACAAGAAATTTGCTTCAGCCACAGTTTACCAATTTCTACAAGTTGTATAAACAACCACAGCAGCAGACCAGGGTTTTGAAAACTTGTAACTGACTGTGCACATACAAAATACTTGGTCTAAACTTCAATCCTGTTATATGAGCAGCATACGCCAAGAGCACTTACAGAACAGGGGAGAGATTGTTATGTATTTTGCAGATGCATGAGAGCCTCATCCAGAAAATATTAGCATGTACTAGCTCTCCCTACAGAACCTTGATCTGATTGATAATGCTTATTAAAAAAAAAATTCTATCTTTGTTATCCTTTTCTCACATTTAGTCCTCATTTATCATCTGTTATTCCATATTATGTTCTGACAAAAAGTAGTAACTTGAGGCTTCTTTATGGAGCTCACTAATATCTGGAGTTCTCATCCCACAGCAAATACTGTCTTAATCACACTAGAGTCACTAGCTAAGACAGACAAGTGTGTGAACAGCACATTGATTCTGAATGCCCCAATATAACACTTACAGCCTAACTTTTGTCAAATATCAGGTTTTCCAAATCTGTTATTTGTTTAGAATTCAGCTCTTGATTGTAACTACAGTTATAAGGTTCATGGTATCTGTAAATGAGATAGCTTGCTAAGCAACTTCATCACCCAAAAAATGAGGAACACAGTAAGAGGCACTGAACCTCTTCACAGCAACATAAATCCCAGATAATGATGGTAAAGTTTCTTATGGCAACAGGAGTTGGATTAGGCTCCAACCCAAAGTTTACTTAATACCAGCAAGCTGCAAAGCAAAGCAAAACAAAACACCTTTCAAATAGTTTCCTCTTTGTGTAGTCCAAATGTATCTCTGCATTCTACCTGTACTTCAGTGGAAGTCTGCATTGGCATAAACTATAATATTAAATCATAGTTATGCTCAGATTGTACTACACAGAACAAGCACAACTTGGAGTCCTAGCACATCCCATTTGCTAGTAATACTGGAATTCCAGTAGATAATAATTTTTAATATACAGCAATAATATTTAATATTATATATATAAGCACACACCAAGTAGATGATCTAATTTTGTATTCTTTGCACATTAAAAGAATTGCAGAGAAGTCCTTACATGCTCAGAATCACTCCATATATTAAAACATTTGTACTAATACTAGTTTATATTCAATACTGAACAAACTGACAGCCAGTCCTCTTTTCATAGTAAAAAGTCTGATTGAAAAAAGTTTTTTGATCAAAAATATTCAAAAAGAATAACTGCAACAGTAGTATTTCAGCTCATAAGAGCTATAAGCAGCAAGGGAATATTGTCCCTTACTCCAGGTGAAAAGTAGTGGCATTTAAAGGATAAAATAGTGAAATATCAAACTACTACCCTAGAAAAGATGTCATTTAAATGCAGAGAATATTCTTTGTGTATTTTAATTCCGAGCTTGAAAGAAACTGATCCGTAAAGGTTAAAATATTACATTAAATGACAAAAGGGAAAAATAAAATAAGAGGCAGGAAAGGCTATCTTTCTCATAATAAATTGCTCTGAGTCAAGAATGACAGGTTTCCTTCTAAAAAGCAGACTGGAGAAAAAAAAAAATTCAAAAAACCCTTCAAATCTCTGCACATTTGTAAAGTGCATTTAGGCACTAAGAAAAGTTTAGACAACATTTAGCTATCAAGTATTTGCCTATAAACAAGATACATATATAGTTTTAAATAAGCAGGACTGCACATTTTGAAGAACAGTAACAAACATCCACAACTTCTTTGATTATAGAGGAACTTCAAGAAAGATCCTGAGGAGGGTGCTTTGGTTCATCTGATAAACTGCAATTAAAAGCTACTAGAGGTCACTTAGACATGAAGGTCATCTCATCTTCCACTGGACCCTTGTTTTGGGCAACAGTCCACCCTTTCTGTTACTCTCCTGTAGCTGGCCTTAAGAAGCAGCAACAACAGTAAATCCATTACATGCTCTAACCTTTCTGAGGAAACTACTGCTGGCCAAAATGTCTAAAAACATGCATCACAAAATGACAATTTGAACTTTGCCTTGTAATTGGTACAGTGTCATGCCTTGTAACCACAAGGGTGTATCTAAGAGTCTGAAGCAGAAAGCATAGCATTACACTCTATGAATTGTCAACTTATTACTGTAATGGCATTTTGTGGTTAGAGCTAAAAAGAAAAAAAATTAAATGTTAATCAAATACAGCATCCAATGTAATACGTCTCATAGCCATGCATATAACGCTTACCACACCAGTCTGCATGAAAACACACAAGAATTAAGCTAGAATTCAATGATTTAGACATGAGGAACAGCTAAGAATAATATGGAGAAATACCAGATGCCTGACAAGCTAAAAATACCTGGTTTTCCAGATCTTGTCCAACAATTCCAGCTTCCACACAAGCTGTTAAGTTTTTCTCATCTATCCAGAGAATCCGATTCTGTTGAAAAGCCAATCAAAACTAAGAATCAGTGTTAAAGATTTTTGTTTATTGCCTTCCCTAACACTATAGGATCAACATGCTTGGTCATACAGCTTACTATTAATACAACTCCAGTTATCACAGCAGTGGAAGCTGAGCTCCCTCACTCCCCCAAACAGCTACACAACAGATTACAATTTATGAAGTCAGCACTGTAAGACAGTAACATGCTTATAATCAATTTATACTAGGTCATCTCATATTTACTAGGAATATTTACAGAAACAATGCAGAAAAGTCAGAAAGAATTAACTCTTACAGAAGTTAAGCAATACAGTGATTTTCACATTAAACACTCTTATATATACTCCATGGGTTAAATAGACTGCATTCAGTTATTCTAGTTCAGCTCCTGGATTTTGACACAGTAAGCTAGAAACGAGATACACTACAGGATGTTAGAGTATGTATGTACTTTAGAAATTTAAGATTCTTGGAAGGATTATATAATTTTATCTGATGAGACATGCTGTGCCATCAGTATATTCTACTAAACAGGAAAAGTAGTAAACACTACAAGTTACACAGTGCATTAAGCACTACTCTTAATGAGGACAATTCACGTGAAGGAGAAACTTAACAAATATGGTTTTAGCTTTGTTTATCATAAGGATACCACAGAAGCTTCAGCTTCTACTCTTCGTTCTTATTAAGTACACTTCTAGTGTATTTCTATAATTTTGTGTATTGATATTGTATAGAAGGAGAACAGCTCTAATTTCCCTTTGTCTTGATTTTTGAAATAACAGAAATGTGGATATCTTGTAGTCCAACTTAAACTATGCTTTAAAGCAATTGTCTTCCCTCACAATACGTAGGCTAACTAATTATTCAAAGCCAGTTATTTCAGCTCCTTCAGGTGTCTACCTTCAGTTTCAACATAAATCGCTTAAATTAGTCTTTATGCAATACTGACCCTACATATAAGATTAAGATACCTCTTAAGTGTCTATTAAAATAGTAAAACTTAGCCAATCATCTTAACTTCTCTGAGACACCCAGGTTTCAACTCTGACAATGCTTCTTTTCACATCGATTTCTTTATTTTCCCTCCTCATTAATGATTAAATTAATTTGCTGGCAAAGTAATTCAAGACACACAAAAGGGGTCTGTTTTCTGACTTAGTGTATACTTATATATCTAGCTGACACAAAAGCACAACAGTAAGAGTTAACCACATTCCTTTCCCATCCCCAAACCAGACAGAACTCAAAGCTGCGGGCCATGCATCAATGAGGTAAAATGAAGGCCTGAGTTAGTATTGCATTCTTTGGATTTCACTCCATACAGACCCTCAAAGAGCTTCCTTCCATACACAACTACCACCTTTGCAGAAAAGATCACTTTTTTAGCTAAACACACTGAGAAACAACAAGTTTAACTGAAGAACCACTGAGCAGAGAAAATGGAGTCAAAACCCAGGTCTTATCTTCAAGGCTAAAGGAGTTAAGCTCAGGGGGTGCTCAGAGGCAGCAGAGCCTTACATCAAAGATACAGAGCTGTTTCTGAAGCATCTCATTACCATGTCATCATAAAGCTATCACTCTAAAAATATAAAGCTCCTTCATAATGGAAAGATGAAAACTATCACTAAATTTTATAGAACTTCATTTCTAGACTGCCATAAAGCTATGAACTTCACATTCTCAAGATGCTATCTACACAAAAATCTAGGTTGTTCTGTAAAGTTGATTCTTCAAGTTGATTTATAGATATTAGGTCACCTTACTTTGCTCTACATATTTTTAAGTCTGTAAAAAACTAGTGAAATTAGCAATAACAAATAACTTAATCCTAGCCTTTCATTTAACCTCAGATATAACTTCCAATACAGAATAGCAGCTTCCTCTATTTTTCACATACAGCTGTTATAAGAAGGCTTAACAGTTGTTTTTCTTATTAAATACCTACAGGTCATATGAAGTAGTACAGGACTAATATCAGCAAAATATCACTTAAACTAAAAGAGTACTAATTTAATCATGCATGGTACAGATTAATACTTCCATCCTTAATTCTTGCAAAGAAAGAAGTGTCATTCTCTAGTGATCACCATTCAGAGTAACTGTTGGATACTTTAAAAAATAAAAATAAAAAATTGAGAGAGACATACCATTTGTGATGTATCCAGTGAGACAATTGTTCTTTTTTCTTCTTCAGGACACTCAAGGGCACTAGAAACACTCGTCCCTCCTGCAAATACAGGAGTGACATTGTCATCATAAAATTGTCAGGTAGCTTTTTTTACATACCATCCTTCACATACCATCCCTTTTCTCCCTCCTTACTTTATTAAGTTCAATATCAGAAATATATGGCGGTTGACTGTTTGACAGTAGTGATTAGCCTCTTAAGGCTGTCCCTTCTCCCAAACTGGGTTTCACAAAATCAAGGCAGTATTGGAGCTGACAGTGCTTTAACAGCACTCAGTAACAAACCATGAAATTCTCAGCTGCTTCTGTTAAGTCCAGAATAGAGATTTAAAACAAGGAAGGATAAGAAATAACAAAGACATCCAAGAAAGAGAGAGCCATGGTTTCTATATGTTCTTTTGAGATTACTATGGAAGCCACTACACTTCTACCTAGAAAGTTGGTTTAAGAAGTCCACTTAATACAGAAATGCAACACTCAAGAAAGAAACTGAAAGGGTATAATTATTAAAAAGATAAAACCAAATGTCAAACTTCTCTGGAGGTTTCTAATGTATCTTTATAGGTTGTCACAGAACAGCCTCCAAGAAGCCTTTGGCTTCTCAAAGACTATAAAACCCACAGGAAAAGAGAAACTAGGATGCTAAAGAGATCCACAGCAAGCTACCAGAAGAACACCCAATGGCAAGAACAGAGACAGGGTCAACTAATAAAACACTGTCCAAGAGCAGTAAAGCCTGTCATCTTTGTTTTCAATGATAGGAAAGGTGGCATTTTCCTTAAATATCAACCCTTATAGTAATAACTCCAAAAGTTGACTGTAGTTCAATATAAACAGACTTGGAAAATAATCTGAAGATCTTTCTGGGATCAGAGAGTCAATATTGCTGCTTTCAGCTATGCTAATTTATTGGTATAAAGGGTGACTTGTGGCAGTCTTACAGCTCTCCAAATGTATCTGGCAAGGGTGAGAGTGTTTTCAGGAGAAATCAGCTCCATCAGTTTGGTGTTGGCTTCAAGCAACATACTCATCTTCTCAAATAGTGAATGTCCTTCCTACAGGGCTATACTCCTACAGCATAAGCAAGTACCAAGTAAAACACACAAATTTATTCTACACAATTAAGAGTTCTCCACAAAAAGCTTCTCAGAATGAGCTCATAAAAGTCAAAATCCTATGTTCCCTGAGCTGTAAGTCAAAACAAGGTAGCTCACCACTCTACTTCAGCAGGCTTAGAGGAAAAAGCATCCACAATTAAAAACCTGAAGTTCTTTAGGCTGAGCAGGACACAGATTATACAGGCCTTTACTTGTACTCCGTACTTGGAACATTATCTGAAAAACCCTTGCCACAGCAGTCTCTACTCTAACTTTCAAACTGAGCAATTTCTAAAAGGACATTAGAATTATGGTTAATGATTTTGCAGTGTCGTTTTTGACCACAACTCTCCCTAGACCTATGAGCTTCAACTGTGTAACAAAAACCCCAATTTATTCATGTTTGTGGGGAAAAAAGCACAAGTAATTTGTCCAAAACCATGACAGCTCTAACACAAACATCTGAATTTCTTGACTTATTTCCTAGAGGGCTTCCAAGGCAGAGGTAGATTTCAGCTTCATATAATCACTTCTCTTGCACATTCAACATTCAAGGTATTGACATACTTTTAAGTACTTCCACTAAGCTGCACATAGCAGCTCTGAATACTGCAAGATCATAAAAAAAATTAAGACCACATTTAAAATGCTACTAAAAAAAAAAAATCTAACGATTGAATTATTGGTACAATACTTTACTAAGATCACACATTTGAATTAAATTCAAATAGAATACATTTTCACTAGTAATGTTAAACAGATTTGAGATTTCATAACACTTACCACCAAATGGTATTAAGCAGAGATTGTGTTTGCAGGCTAATTCCACAATTTTAACTACGTCTTCATGGCAAACTAAAAAAAAAATTAGAAACGGTTAAAAAATAGGATTTGTGCTTAGTACTGTTATTTGTACTTAGTACTAACTACTGCAGTCTGAAGAAGCAGCAGCTCCTTCTCCAACACCAGCAAGGAAGACATTTCAAAGAGTTAGGCGCTACATAAGAACTATGCTCAGAAGCATCAGAGTTCCAGAGTAAAGGTTAGACCTGAACCAATTCTACATTTGAAGAGCTAACTACAGCCTTATTCTCCTGCTCTACTCATGGCTTAAGACCTCCTGCAAATTTTCAGGGCAAGATAGACTACCAAACACTTTAATTATTAATCTAGGTATCCTGGAGAACAAATCAAGTTTAAAGCTTTTATTGAAAATAGGTTGTCTAACTTATTGTGAGAACTAAGTCTCTTTTGAGAGCTGAACAACAAATCTTTTTCTTCCTGGCTGATACTCAGCTTGAAAAGTAGAGTTGCTGGTGAAATTTACTTTTTCAGAATGCATTCTGTATCTAGTCAAGGAGGGAAGCAGAAATGCCTGTGCATAGGCAAGGAAAGGCATAAAAAAAAAAAAAAAAGATCAAATACAATGCATACATGAGTTCATGCAAACAGCAGAGAATGAGCAGGACTGAATAAAAAGGCTTACAAAGTCTGGCTACTTTTCTCTTGCCATACAGAGCAGATTTAAATGAAGCTTTATTTCAGTTGCTTTTAGATCTGCACAAAATAAAGCTGTGGCAAGCGTTGTTCATAGTCACTACTGCTGTCATGTCAGTACTAATCCTCAAGTAACGAGATGCATTTTATAGTGCCTCTTTTTATGCTTCCCATATGTGATTCCCCCCCCCACCCCCCAAATAAAGGGAGCAAAACTGAGCTAAGACTAAGTCCCCATCAGAAATTTTGGAGTTTCTAGTGCAGTGCAGCTATCAAAGTATCAGGAAAAGTTATAAAAGGTAAGGAAAGAGTTGGATTCATACAGTTGAACAGAAATTGACAGGTACTTAGATCAAATAACCTTTTGGCTAGCTACTGAAGAATGGTACATAGAGAGTAGTTCCCAGTGACCAGAGAAACATGACTCAAGTAGAAAATTCACACGTGTGCAAATGAAATCATACCACTTTAAGTATTTGTATCCTTCTAGATAGAAGCAAGCATATTTTCTGCTAGTTTCTTCTACTAATCTATAACAGCATTAGTTATTACTCCATTTAAAGTGGACCCAGCCTGCACTCATCTTGCACTGCTCTTTCTTCAAGTCAATGATCCTTTGTAAAGTGTTCTGATAGGAGTTACAGGTGTTAGACTTTTTTTATTGAAGTCTAGCATGTTGTAAACCCAAGATCTTTAATACAAACATTTCACTACCGTTCTACCATCACGCACTCCTTCAGAAAAACCAACAGGATTTAGACAACTATTCTTGTTGTAAGTTCAAATTACACTATGGTTACTTAAGTCATGAATTCAGTTGCCAACAGAAACTTCAGCTATATTTAATAATAAACATGACTTCCCCACAAAGTGATGGGATTTCACAGGCACAACCTGAAATCCAGATATTAAACAATCATGATTACCACTTATGAGAAAATTCCTTCACTTTCTGTAAAGACAAGTAAAGTCGGTGAACCAAGAGATAGTTTCCCCACAGGAGTTTAGTAAACAATGGCCTCCCTGATCAGAAGGGAGAAGACGACAATTAAAGCTTACCAGGCCATACAACTATATCAGGAATTCGCTTAAACATTCCTTCCCTGAGTACAAATATCTCATGTAGGCAGTGACCTGAAACACAAACAATAAGTTAACAAGTTCAAACAAGGAAGCATCAAAAGTAGCACAGTTACGTAAATGAAGTTCTCTTACCATGAGCTCTGAATACCCTATCTTCTGCATCCTGCGAATATGAAATATTAGTGGCTCTAAGATCCTGAAGAAATTCTTCATTTACAATGGATGGAGGTACATCATTAACATTTAAGGATGCCTACGATACAAGAAAGTAAGTTCATTAAAGGTAGGTTCACTCTTACAGCATTTCTGTACAACAAAAACTACAGAAACAGGTTAGCACTGATGCCCAAACACAAGATCAGAAATAAAGAAGTTCTCTTCCTCATCTCCAATCACTGATCTCACTTTTCCTGCCTGGTACTCGGCTGAATAGATGCACTAGTTTTATTTCAGTAGCATATTCTTATCCTTTTTCCCCTTGATAAATTTGTTTAAATGCACTAGCTTATGAGTGCTTACTGAACAAAATACCTTTTAAGACTACCCAAGATCCAAGAAAAATAGCTGCCTGAACAGAACTAGACATTGTCTTATTGATAAAGGGGTAGAGATTGAATATCAATTCCTCCTCCAATACAAAGAAATACTCTGCAGATTCCTCTACTTACAGTTCTGTTTCTACCAACTCACTTCCCCTCCTCCTGTCACATAGTAGAAGTCAAATCCATCTCAGATCAAAGCCTAATCAGAAGTCCAAAGCAAAGCAAAACTAAGTTTGCCTGATTTAACATAACCAGCATGCTTTAAGTAGACCTCACACATCAGAAAGAATTTATAAAATCCATGTTCAGTCACTAACATGCAGGTGTTTTCAGAAAGCCTCTAGCTAGAAGTCTTGACCAACACCTTGGAAAAAAGGTTTTCTTTCAAAGAAGCTACACTGGACATTTTGGCTTATCAACAGGCCTTGAATCAAAGTTCTGTAAGTCCAGAGGGAAAATCCTTGCTTAATGTTTTCTAACAACCCACTCTTCTAGATCCTTACAACAGATGTCCTATATAGCATTCTTACAGCTTCTCAAAGTGCAGATCTGTCCACTTAATTCTCTATTCTAAAGTCCACTTTGGCTATCAGGCACATAAAAAACACAGTTCAGGTGTCAACTTTTTAAATCCACTTAGAGAATGGCAATTCTTCACAGCATCCAGTTAAAAAAGAAAAAAAAAAAAAAAAATCTTTGTAGACATTAAGTGCAATGCTTTTAAGTGCTTTGAAAGTTACAAAAAATCCCAACATGCTTTTTTCCCTCCTTAAAAATCAAGCCAATAAATTAATTTATACTTTTCTATGGATAACCTCCCTAAAGGAATATGTCTACTATTAAAAGTGACCTCTAATTAAGGGATTATTTTATCAGATATAAAACTTGTCTTGTGACTAAAAAACTAACTTCTGAACTTCAACTCCTATTCTGAAAGAAAATGTTGGTCAAGAATGTTATTTCTAACTATCAAAGTCCCTCAAGTTCAAGAAAAGGAGAACTGAAAGTTTTTCACTACCACATCTTTTACTTTAAATACACTTAAAAATTAGGAGTTGCACAAAAATTCGTTAAAACACCACGCAGTGCTTTTGAACCTTTGTCATGAAAACCCTTCTGGCAAGTTATCAGACATCATGTTCAACTCAAATAGAACAACATCCTTGCAATTTTGTTATAAAGCTATCAAGAAAGACTATGGGCTTCCTAATGATGCCAGCACAAGCTTGCTTACAGGCCTACCACCAAAAGCTATTTTGTACAAAATGTTCCACAAAGAAGCATAGACATTTCTTTGATGAGCGTGGCCTATGCTTCTTGACAAGTACAAAGTGAAAACAGCAAAACTCAATTCACTTTTCTTCCACCTTCTGAAGTTTCAGCCTTCAACAAAAAAAGTATGACCACCCAAGTTTTCTTTCCTGGAATGGAGTTTTGACTAATCTGTTATCTACATAATCTCCAGAAAAGCTGATACTTTTTACCAACATTTGTCTTAAGATAAAAGCTTAGAGGATAGCACCAGTTACCAAGCTAACAGTAAGGAAAATAGAGATTAATAGTCTCCCATCTGCCACCACAGCAGCAATCTATTCTGAATGGGTTGAGTCTCAAAGTAGCAAGAGCTGAAGAAGGCAAGATTTAACTTTCAACAGCAAAGTTTTCAGGTACTTAAAAGATCCATAGTGATAGAACTTGTCTTGTCTACCAGTGTCCACCCTACAAGAAATTATGTAAGTTATGTAGAAATTAAGAGTACTTAGAGGGACAATTCAGAAAGCAATATCTGCATGAGATACATTCATGACTGATAGCTAACAATATTCAGAGGTTCCAAAGTACAGCCCAGTGTTTGTTTTGGAGTTTTCATATGGAACACATGACCTAATGAAAATACAGTTTTAATAGTGATTTGACTTCTGGAAGAGAGTTCTGACTTGCTTTAACAATAATAGTATACTTCTTAAAATAAAGTGTTATACATCTGAGAAAAAGGTTTTTTCCTCCATCATATTCACTTTGTCACCTACAAACACTGAAGTTGAGATTAAATGCTGTTCAGGTGAGAGGCACACTGCTACCAAGAGATCCTGATTTTAGGGGCCAGTCACAATGAGCACAGAGGAAGTCAAGTCTTGGATTGCTGCTCTTAGCTCTTACTATTCTGCTGTTAATGCACATTCACACAGTGCCTTTTACTAACCCAAAGAGCAGAGTGCTGACAGAAACTTGGGAAACATAAGAAACAAACAAGTAGGTACTAAATAAAGACCTTTAAACCACTTAAAAAAATTCCCTGCTAGCCATGTTTACATTTTCTATTTTAAATTTGGGTTACTTCATGGCTTTCCATAGACAGAACTATTTCTTATAATTTCAAGTTGAACACCAAGTGCTTTGAAGATCTTCACTCCATAAAAGGGACACAAACGACTTCAAGGTATAACAATTCCTTGCAGATTGTTTTCAGTATCTTGATTTTTATCCCTTTTCCACAAGTATTTGAATCCTTTAGCTTTCATCTTCAAGATTGATGTTAGTATTCATCCATATAAATCTTATGCACAAAGCCAAACAAAAATATACCTTTATTTATTCTTACATGACTGAATTATTTTAAGATTTGTGTAGCAGAAGGTGAGACAGCAAGTCTACATTAAGTAAGTCTAAACTGCTGTCTGCGGTAAGTCTCGTCTGAAAAAAGGAAAAAAAACATCATCAGGTCTTGAGCATCACAGGAGCAGGGACATTTACTGTTGTAAATTATAACAAAAAACCACATGCAACAGGGAACCCTCCAGTCTTGCAGAATAAAGGCAGGAAGAGATGAGATAGAAGGACAAATGGACCAAGAGATCCCTCTGCTACTGCTGCTCCTATACTCAAGTGCCTTCATGCTCTGATGATGGTAGAAGGTGAAAAACCAACATAGCATTACAACCTGGAATATAACTGGGAACTATGATACAGATATGAAAATGAAGGACCTGCAATAGTAGTTGAGAATAGCTATGAGAGGTCTGGATACATACTAGAGACCCCAAAGAGTCCCATTCTGTGTCAAAGTAGTCAGCCAGTTTTGGATCGCAACAAGAACATCAGAACCAGAGGAGCACAACGTAACAGGAAAGCATTCAACATTACTGGCAGATATCCTGAAGAGCTGTTTAGCAAGACATGCTGTGGAATCAAGATACTATTCAAGAATCTACCCTTGTCCTCCAACTCTACTTTATTCTATATTCCCCTCTATGGGTAGCAAGGGAAAAATTGTCTCTCAGGAACTCAGGTCACAGCAAATTAAAGCACCTGCCAGTTAAGACCAATCCCCGTCAAGGAAAACACATTAAGATTAGGGGTTGGTTTTTTTTCAAAATATATTGTCAGATGGAGATCCTGCAAGTAATAGCACATGAAAGAATGTCTTGATTAACAGAAGACTGAAGAAATGTTCAAGTTGTCAGGCTCTATGAGATTATCTACTTCAGAGAAAATGCAATCTTGAACTCACTCAAGAATTGGGTAAAACTGTTACCCAAAGCAGGGTTCCTACAGTCACTGTACAAGCACAGCCTGCTTCCAACACTGCTTAAGCAGCTATCTAGTCAGGAACCTGCAGACTCAAAGGAATTCTTAGAAGGGAGTCAGGTCTCCTGACTGACATGAGTTACTCTTCTAGAAAAGCAAAATATAGATGTATCACAAAACCCAGAATGTTTCAAATGTGTTGTTTTTCTGAAAACATTCAGTTCAATCTTAAGTACTCTGGTAGTCAGTTTTCAGCACCCAGACATGTAAAAAAAAAAAATTACTGTCAAGTAAGAACTTGGATATCATAAAATACACAGAAAACACAGCACAATTTAACTTCCCTGTATCTTCCCGCTTTGTTACCATGAACATCAAAGTTGCAAGAACAATTCCCTCCAGGCTAACAGTTTCTACGCTCTTGAAAAGCAGCCGACAAACATGGACAAAAATCCCCTCTCTGTGTTGGAGACTTTCATTCCAATAAAAGTACTACCAGTTAACCTGGAACCACAAGTCAAGCTAAGTCATTGAAGGTTTCATGTAGAACACTTTTTTCCAAAACTCTGAGGTATTAATACACTATATTTAAATCAATTATATGCAAGGTAACCCTTCAGGACAACAGCTGAATCATCTTTAACAATGTGGTCTTGATTATCACTAAGACTAATGTTCAAAGGAACTGGTTCAGCTATTTACTTACTCTAGAGGTAGTTTTGTGCTCCAGACTTGCTCCAAAGGTTTTTTCTATCCATTCCTTAAAAGTTGGTAATACCATACCACCTAATCTGTACCTGAAAAGTCAATATTACATAGGGTCATTTTAAATTAAAAGACTGTATATCAGATACACTTCTTTTGATTCTACGTATGCACAAATACTTAAGTTTTAAACCAAATTTTTTACCTACAAGCCTGCAAAGCTTCTGCACATTTAGTTTGCATGCAACTGCACATTTCATTGTATTTAACTGTTTTGTACTTCATACAAAATCAAATCAATTGTCAACATCTTAGGTATTCTTTTCCTTCATGATCTTTGGGAATTGTGGCATAAGGCTATTCAGATATCCCACCACCCCATCTTTACTTTTAAGAAAGGTTTCTCCCCTTCAGCAATGCAGAAAGCAGTGTCACAGTGTACGTGTCAGTTATAAGTAGAGGCCACATGTATATGGACACACTGCAACATAAACAACAGCAGTCTCAGACACACAAACCCAGCTCAGTACACCTTACATGTTTTGAAGAAAAACGGTGTTAACAGATTCTTCCCTCATCATCAGAATGCATCAGAATCCATCAAGCAACGAGAATTTATTTCTATCGCAAACTCTTTGGCAACAGCTTCCATGTGACAGATGAAGACTTACAGACAAGGGACAGAGGAGCTGTTTGAACATGTGTACCACATGTGAAAACAAATAAGATTGGGGACACACTTAAACAGGTAGAAACTACTGCTATTAATTGTTTACATATAAACACCTCATGCATGTTTATATATGCACAAGCATTCTCTGAGGAGAAGAGAAAAAGGACCTTTCTTTGGTGATGAGCTTTAGTTCTCAGAGCAGCTGAGGATCCTTACTATAGCTTGCACCTGGGTCACTGTATTATGTCTCATTATGCTTCCTTCTAAGACTATTCAATCACTGTTAATCCAATTCTGACCCCATCCTTCACAGCTGTTGCAAACAACGCTACAACTAAGTCACCTATTACACAGAAGATCAATTCCTTTCATTTCTCATCTCAACTACCTCCCAGTTCTCCTACTGCAAAGAAACCCTATTCTATTCCTAGAGATAAAAGGCTACAAACATATCTCAGCTCGAGCTAGACTCTTCAGCTTATAAAACAGCATTCAGTTGTTCTTCCTGTGACAGCTGTTATTGTATCATCATACCCATACGAAACAGCTAAGTGAATTCTATTAAAAAGAAAGTGCAATAAGCAATGGAAGTTTAATGCATTTGCATCAGGAGTTTGCAACAAAGGTACAGAGTCAGCTTGGTGCATTTTCTCTAGACATACTTTTTGGTATTGCCAACCTATTACTATAGCTACCTTGCAAGGGTAACCTTAATTAATCACTTACTCAAAGGACAAACTGAAGCTATCAGAAAACCAACAATTTAAGTCAAGACACAGACAGATGTCACAGTGTAGAGGCATTTATTTTACTGCACAGAATGCAATGAATGACTGCTCAGGAAGCAAGCTTTATATGTATGTTGATGGTGCAAGAAGCCCCCCAGAAGACCTCCTCCCCCCCACACCCCCCACAAAAAACAGGTTTAGTTGCTCAGCCTAGCAAGTATCATCTATCCCTGGTGAGATGGTAGAGTGTACAATAAAAAGATCACTTGACACACAGAAAAGCATGGTCTGTTGGGGAAGTCAACATGGCTTTCAAGAAGGGAAATCCCATTTCATGAACCCTTGGAGTTCTACCAGGATGTAAAACTAGGAAGTGAATAAAGGGGATACAATAAACATTAAATAACACACTCCTTTATACTTCTGCAGGTGTTCACTCCAAAAGTTATTTAAGGAGATACACTGCTACAGTACTGAAGGAAATATTCTTCTACAAGCTGAAGGATAAGATAAGAAGCAAAGGGCAGGGTTTGTTGATCACTGTCCAAGACAGACTCAGGAGTACAGCTTGCCACATACTGGTACAGGATACAGTTTTATATGTCTTCATCAGTGATCTGGATTAATCAGTGAACTCTCCAACCAAGTGAATAATACTAAGCTCTTTTGGGTAGACAGATACTACTGATAGGAAGGAACTCAGGACCTTAAAAAACCTGAGAAAAAAAATAAAGATAGAAAATGTAGATAATTGCAAAAGCAAGCTTTAGTTGCATATTTTGAAGAATCAGACTGGTAGTCAGTATAGAAAAAATCATGGCATCCTCACTGACAACATACAACAGCAGTCAACAGTGTTATGCATCAACCAGACTTGTAAGACAAGATAGTTCATCTTTTTGCTGCTCTGTAGACCTCTGATGTATCCACACCTTGAGTGCTGTATGCAGTTTTTCTTTTTATCTCCAAAAAGATAGAGTGGAGCTAGAGAGGGTTCAGAGAACAGCAACTGTACAGACCAAGATGCCTTACAAGAGGAGACTAAAAGGTCCAGGACCCCTCAGCACAGAGAGAAAATGAAAGGGAGGATATGATTAAATCGCATATAATCAACAAAGTGGTAGACAGGTTGAACAACTATCATTCACCAAGTCCTGCAACACAGTGAGCGATACTTGGTTTAAAACGTGAGTATTTTACACAACAGCAACCTGGAACTGGCTTCTACGGAATGCTGTAGAGGCAGATAGTATCAGCAGACTTGAAAGCTATTAGATAAATTTATGGACAACAGATCTTTAAGTGGATACTAAAAGGATGAGGCATCTACAACACCTTTGCAGATGCCTATTCTCCTGTTTTCACTTCAAATACTCTCCTTTTGCCACTGTGACAAAATATTCCATAGAAAATACACTGGTGTGGCCCAACAGGGCATTTCTAACATAATCAGTTAGAGAAATGCAGATGGAAGGAAAAACCACCATCCCCACGCCCCCCATACTAGAACAGTGACTCAAATTCATCTGTCAAACAGTCTCCATGCTTCCTCCTGAAAAAAAGCCAAGTCCAGCTCTTAACCTTTTTTTCCCCTCCAAAGCACACTACAAAAATTTTCCGTGCAGCACAGCCTACCCCAGATCAACTAAAGATATCAGATGAAAGAATGAGTGACAAAGTGACAAGAGTCAGATTCCTAGAAAGAGGAGAGAGACCACCAAGATGGCCCAGATATTATACAGTGAACTCAAGTGCCTAAAACAAGGTTTTGCATTTTAATCTGGCCCTGAAAATTAAGAAATTAAGAACTGAAGTGCTTAACATCCCAGTTAAGTTTTTGCAGCTTTGACTCTAACTATCTCATGCTAGTTTACACAAACTCAAAGACCAGGAAGGAATTTTTCTGAAAGACAGTACTTATTTCTCTTCCCCATTCTTTTTGTTTACTCTTACAAAAAGTCTATTTTTTAAACTAAGGAAGAGACTGCAGGACTACTTTCCATTGAAGCAGGAAAAAAAGCAAATAGGAAGATATCAAGCAACAGGCTTAAATCCCATGGGAAGAAAGTTAAGAGAGCCCCAAGTAGACTTAATTTTAATGTCATTTCCTAGAAACAAAACAAAATTTCTTAGAAAAACAAGCTTGCTGTACAAAAGGCTAGTAGATAATAAGTCAGAAGAGCTGCCACTACAGAATGTGCAACTGAATAGCAGTTTTTATTTTTAAGCTCAGAGGATAAGAGTAACTCCATGCACAATGGTCAAGAAACTGAAAACTTTTGAAAAGATTGAAAGTTTAATAAAGCAACTTGTTGATGCTTAAGAGATTCTCAAATTGGCAAAGTTGCACTGACCTGCTGCATGTTATCTAAAGCTTTAGAATATGGTGCAAATTCTCAGTCCGAGTCCATTCTCCAAGGGAAGTTTAATGCACACAGTACAACAAGTTACAGAGAAGGCTCACATTAATTTGTCCTTTTAATACTTTTAATAAATCTTCCAATAACCCACATAGTCTATTTTACTACACATTAGACTACTGTGTATAGAATTCAATAAACCTGTTAAATGTAGAGCAACTACATTCTATTCTACCTATTCTATGAGATAAAGCAAGTTTTTTTTGCTGTCTTTGGATTAACTGAACAGTGCAATTTTTAAACACTTTTCAAAATATCACTAAATAAGATACTTCAGCTACATAAATTTTCAACTTACCTTTTTCCTGTGAATTCTGCTTGACCCTTCTTATTGAAGATGAATTTGGAGTCGTTATATCCCCATCCATTCCACTTCAGAAGTTCTTGCCTTAAAGGGAGAAAAATACATAAGTGAGAATGTTAGCATATTGTAAGCCCAAAATGATTTGCAGTTAGTTATATGACTTTGGAAAAGTCTTATCAGATAGCAATTCAATAAATCAGCACATATCAAAAGTGCACAGCTTAACAGAGGAAAAAGTAATTCTGCAGCTACAACCATTTTTGGAGTGCATCCTAAAATCTGAAAGACAAGATGCTTTATAAAAACAACCAGCTTAAGTCAATGCACACCATATGGGGATATTCTCAAATTGGTAAGAGCAATGTTTGAAAGATGCTTATTTTTAGATCTACACATAAATACTAACACACAAACAGGTAATAGCTAAATATATTCAGAATGAAAGACATTTAGCATTATTACTCTGTCAAGAGAACAATTTTAAATTTTAGTTGTTTGACATCACCACTGTAACCTCACTGCATTCTTAATAACATTCACTTGATGGGGCACTCAGACACATTTGGACTGAAAATATTTTTGGAAAATAAAAAAACCCCACAAAACAAAAAACCCAGCCCACAAGAACTGCAGGAATAACACAGCAAATACAATCTGAATATGACCTCAAAGCATGCCACCATAAGAAAGGAAATTAAAAAAAACCACAACACAAACCCACAACTGTCAAAATACAACCACAAAATGGAAATACCGTAAGCACAACCATACCAAAACAGAGGATCTCTTAATTATTATAAAGTCATCAGAAGTATACCAATGTAAACATATTTAAGACTCAGAGATACACAAAGACTAATTACACATTAATCTAACTTTTTAAGCACAATTTGCCATTTGTTTACACTATAAATGAAGTACTAATCCAAAACCTGAATTTTAGTTAATAAAAAGGCATCTTAAAGAAGTCTGAAAACAGATGATTTACCTCACTCCACTATATAAAGTGAATGTAGCACTTGCTCTTACGTTATGCAAAGAGTAAGATAATGATCCAGAGCGACCATTTCAAAAAGACTTTATGATTCCAAGAAAGCACTGCCTCGAGTCAGTTAAAACTCCACCATTACACAGAAGATAATTGGGTGATGACTGATTACCAAAGACCTTCATTATTAAGATAATATTAACATAGGCTGCTGACATACTGTCAGTGTTGTAATTAGAGTTGGCTTAATCAAAATTCATTTTCTTCAAACAGCCTGTACACAAGATTTTACTTAATCAAATGGAAAAAAACATAGACACGTATTTCATTACAGTTGTTTGAATCAGATATTTCAACAAGCCTTCGACAAATTTAGCACTTTAAGTAAACTTTATATAGGAGTTTCAGTACTCGGTAACTGATAGAGTTTTGTGAAATAGCCAGTCTATGTTCTTCCACATTAAGGAATTAATTCTAAAATTTCAGCCAAAATTAAACTGTTTGAGCAGACAGCTGTCCAGATACAGAAGCGCCTCTTTGGCTGCCTCCTCTCTAGAGGCCTGATCTTTACACATGTAGTGTTCACGCAGAAAGGGGGCAAGGATCTACTCATGTCTGATTGC